TGATCTACAAACAACAAACGCCACAAAATGATGGTGCCATGGTGGTGCATTGCAAACAATACAAAAAATCACTTGAAACAAAGATTAAAGTGTACTTAAGGAATATTCAAAGATGCAAAAACCAAGTAATAACTTGATTCCTGACTTTGTTTCCTAGAGTTGTAAAGCATTGTTTTATGGAATTGCGAAGCGAAACGGCCATGCATTGTTGTATCCAGAACTCAGGATTTTTGGTTAGTACAGCCAAAATTAGATTTTATTGTTGGCTCCGAATGTCCAAAACACAGTGAAACAACCATGCATAGTAGTAAAGGAGAGACCATCGTAAGATTTTTGGTTAGTACAGCCAAAAATAACCCTATGGGTACATCCATGTTCGGAACTCAAAAAGAATCATCTAATTTTCCTGCTGGCTCAGAATGTTCAAAACATATGCTAGCTCCGTCAGTCTTAGTGGTGCCCTCTCAAATTTGCATGTATGTAATATCTGTCTATTGGTGGGTGCAAATAAAAAAAGTGATGAAAATAAGAAGAGAAAAGCTGAATGAGCATGTTCCGGATGTAAATTGCTACATTTCAAGAAACAGTTTTGCCCTTGCATGGGTTCCTATTAAATTTACCGGGCCATTTTTATAAGTCAATTGCTTTTAGTAGATTTAGTTGCAGAGATTGATCATGGTCCAGGTACAAAGATCCTAGCTTACAGATTGGACTTACTTGACCATGTATGTTTATGAAACTGCATCTTAGATTGCCTCATCTATTGTATTAGTTCGAAGGTGGATCCGAAAGAGTTGCAATTCACAAAAGTCATATCCCCTGCAATCTAAAACAGCTTAGATATTTATGGTGGACAATAATTGGCTTCTAAGGCGGTGCTTAGTAAAGTGAACTACAAGCTATTCTTGTAAGACATTTGTCCATACAAAGTGTAGCCATTGCCTACGCCTATACTCAAATCAAAACAATAGTGCACATAAGTCATTTCTTTCATATATGTATTAGCTGAAATATATAGGATCGTGTGAATTTAAACATCCGTAGCAACGCACGGGCTGAACATCATATTGGACCGGGAATGATTAATCAGACATTATTGTTATCTTATTATGTGATCCGTGTATTTTTAGTATAAAAATTTAGTTGTCCCATAGCAACGCACGGGCATACTACCCCATAAGGCAATAAACTTTACATACTTGTCAGTTGTGTGAGTTTATGACATGGCTGCCTGTGTGCATTCGAGATTTCCACCAGGTCTCAAGAACCCCGTTCGTTTTGCTGAAATTTGGCTTATATTAATGTTTATGTTGATTTACTGTGAGGAAAATAATGCTGAAATAATACCATAGAACGGGACGAAAAGGCTTTTCTTTTACACGTCAGCACATTTCCTATTGTAACATGATGTGTGATGACATGCTGTCCCTCTCTTGATAGGATAGATTTGGAAGGGAGGGGCATGTGCACGGTGCAGGCTCGCTTGCCATTTTGCACCGTGAAAATTTCTGGCGGTAGAGCAAAGAGCAGCGAAATATCAGCGCGTGTTCAGTTCCATCCCAAATCCTAAAAAGTATTATAGTATCTGTTATATCGAATATTTACGGTTTGTGTATGGAGCATTAAATATAGATGAAAAAAAACTAATTATACAGTTTAGTGGAAAATTACGAGACGAACGTTTTAAGGCCTAATCAATCGTTTAAACACTAATTACTAAATAAAAACGAATATGCTAGAATATCCCAAATTCCAATTTGCTTGAACTAAACACGCCCTCAGCTCTCGGCCGAATTGACGGTCAGGAGGAGAGCGCGGCTGCTCGTAGGCCCCATCGTACCCTGGCCGGGCCTTTTCGTCCGTTTGTTTCGGATATTGTGCGGCGAACTGCCCGGGCGACAGAAAGCGATCACCGATAGGGACTGAAATAGTTTTGAGACGGTTCCTATCATCCCCTGCTAGTCACCACCAGTCGACAAGCTATAGAAAAATCTCCCTCGTATCTAGTATCAACGAGTGATTAATGTATTAAACTATGCTTGGGTTGCACGGTTGCACGCTTTCTGGTATTGAATGATAATGGCCCCCTTCAGTTTACTTAAAAGTCAGTTTATTCGGCTTTTTTTCAAAACAGTATTTTTCTCAAACAATATTTTAGCTTTAGCTTATTTTTTCAGTCAATTTCAGCCAAATGAACGGAGCCAATAAATAATTAAAATTTGTGCATAGAAGTAGTGAGTGAGATCTCGTTGTCGTAGAAGTAGTCTTGTTTAAAGTTTTGACCATGTTTTTTTTACACCTTTCCTATCATTAGTCACCTGAAATTCTTCTTTTGTTCGGACGGCATGTGGTTCGTGCTGTAAAAAAAACTCAGTGATGTAACCTCATGGGTACTCATATCTCATGGCGTCGCAACTTACCTGGACTGGCTTTCTCCTTCGGACATTGTTTCTGGAACCGTATGTGTAGGAGAGGAATCGGGGGATCCCAGGAAATGGAGACGATTTTGCTTAACATAAACAGATACGTTCAAATTTGACGGTTGGAATATATCGCCTGAGCAACTGCTATATTTCAAGTACCTAAAATATAGCAGATCCTTTTTTTATGAAATCAAATATAAAATGCTGGGAACATTTCGTATTCCCGTTCATGATGCTAAGGATACGCATTAAATCCCACAAGGGATGAGAATATGCTCCCTTCATTTCATTCGCTCGGACGATCGCCCTCTAGTCTCTTGGAAGATCTTTCCACCTGCGGACAAAAACATCCAAGCAAATTCATCTAGTCTAGAAACCTGATAGACGGGGCACGATAGCGAACGCCAGTGCACGACACACGGTCTACGGGGCACGAGCAAGCGCCGTCACCAGGCGCTAGAAGACACATGAACGCAATGATGGAAACATGGCGCGAATAGCCGTGACTCTTGTGAACGAAGGAGCTAAGCACATCACCTTTTTTACGAGCGAGCCTCCCCTCTCAGAGAAAAACGGAGAGCCAGTAGCTTACGGGACTACGGGACTTCTACTGGTACTGGACTACTGGTAGGCGGTAGCGGGCTAGCGGCAGGCCTACTCAACGGATGGCCGGGAACGCGCTCCCAGCCGTTGGTTCGCGATCCGCTGCTGCCCCACCCCCACGGCACGTCTCCGTCCGTCCGCTGCCACCTCCGGCGCGGGCGCACGGGGAAGACGACACCACACGCTCTTTCGCGGGCCCCCACCCAGCTGGATTTTTCCCTCACCCATCCCCATACAGCGCCACTGAACTTCCACTTCCGCCGCACACGTGGCCCCCCCACTCCAGCACTCCTTCCCTCCCCAGTCCCCAGCCCTGCTCGCGCCCGCCGTGGGCTAATAATCGCCCTGTTCGCTTGTACTTTTTCACCCGACGAACAGTTCGCGTGGGTGCGTACGTGCGGCGGTTGGACTCGGATCTGCGGCTGGGTGCGCGCGGGATGGCGTCCTTCGCTGTGTCCGGCGCGGGCGCGAGGCTCGGGGTCGTGCGGCCCGGCGGCTCGGCGCGATCTGGCGGGGAGCGGAGGAGTGGGGTGGACTTGCCGTCGGTGCTCTTCAGGAGGAAGGACGCCTTCTCTCGTACGGCTCACTCTCGCTTCTTCCCCCTCCCCCTCTATTCTTAGTCGGTCGGTCGCCGGCTCTCCTCGCTTCTCTCTCTCTGCACTCGTGTGGCGTATGCGTATGTGCTTGCTGGTTCCAAGAGGGATTGCCCTGGATCCTGAGTGGTTCTGATTCTCATACGCGCACGCATACTTTTTCTTTTTTCTTTTTCCTATGTCTGCATTCCGACCGGTGGAAGCGATCGAGCGCGGTTCCTGAACCTGGAACCTGCATTTTGTTGCTCCAATATGCGTTAGTGTTACCAGTTGCTACAGCGATCGTTTCAACGTCTGAGCCAATGCGTTTCCTCGTTTTCTTCCTATTTTGTTTTCTCAATCGTCGCAGCCTGGAACGAAATTGGTGGTGTTATTTTCTCAGTTCTTATCAGTGGAGCTGGCTTTGGAAATTGCAGGTACCGTTCTGAGCTGCGCTGGTGCTCCTGGAAAGGTGCTGGTGCCTGGAGGTGGCAGTGATGACTTGCTTTCCTCCGCGGATCCTGTCGTGGACACTCCAGAGCAGCATGAAGAACTACAGGTTCGATTGTCCCCCTTCTGTGCCTTCATGATGATACGCTTGCCCAAATGTCTGATGAAATCAAATTATGGGGGATGGTCAGCTTTTGCGCTCCTCATATCAGGCATTGTGCAAAGCCTCATGCATTGTTGGTTAGGACACCGTGCTGGTTCTTGGGCTACTGACATGTTAGCTTGTGATCCCACCTACACCTAGCAAGAAGATCACTAAGGAATACACCATTTTGGTTATTTCTGCTGTTCTATATACAACTTATCTATTTCTTTGATGTAGATACCTGACGCAGAACTGGTTGTGGAGGAGAAGGCATACTCATCAGCAGCTAAAGCAACCTCAGCAGCGGCTGAAGCAAGCTCCAAAGTTGAGGCAGCCATCAAAGCCAAAGCACCACTTGTGGAGGAGAAACCACGAGTTATCTCCGCACCAGGAGATGGTCAGCGAATATATGAGATTGACCCAATGCTGGAAGGGTTTCGGGGCCACCTTGACTACCGGTAAGGTGTTAACCCTGAGCTAAGCTGCTGAAATCACGCTCCCCTCTTAATGGGATCATTCATCATGGTTTTGTGGCTGTATTAGAAAGCAGTTTGGAATTAATGACTGAAAAGCATAACTTCCATATTTGAAACTCATAATGCAATATAAATTACTTTCATCGCTGCTTATCATTATTCAAACAGAGCAACTAAACTGATAAGAATGTGTAACTGGTAAGCGGGGTGTGCAATTTACTCTGCCGATGCGCCGACAATTGGACAAGTTGAGCTCCAATATTTGTTGCTTTTGTTGGGAAAAGTGCAAATTTGTCATTTTTTGCTTGGTTTGCCTTGGTGGATTCAACAGATACAGTGAATATAAGAGAATGCGTGCGGCTATTGATCAACATGAAGGTGGTTTGGATGCATTTTCACGCGGGTACGAAAAGCTTGGATTTACCCGCAGGTAAATTTACAGCCACATGAATATGCTCTTTTTAGTAAACCGGACATCATATGAGCAAATATTTATTACTTGTTTCCCCTTCCTTTTCCAGCGCTGAAGGTATCACTTACAGAGAATGGGCTCCTGGAGCATACGTATGTCTCAGCAAATCTTGGCAATCAACTTTTTAACACTGGATAATGTTCATGGTTCACTTGAGACCTTGTGCACAAGACTTATACAGATAGTTCACACGAATATCGTGATTCTCTTCAAAGTGATAGTTTATCTTGCTGATCAACTCATTAAGATTTAAGAACTGATTCTTACATCTTACTGCAGTCTGCAGCATTAGTAGGTGACTTCAACAACTGGAATCCAAATGCTGATGCTATGACCAGAGTATGTCTACAGTTCTGCGATATTCCGTGTTTGCCTTGTAATTGTTGATATATTTCATCTACTGTGTCTATTTGACTTGTTCACACATTCCTTCAAGTTGAGCCTGAAGTTCTCAGATTAACAATATTGTATAAATTCAGTACAATGAATGCACTGATTCCTTGGTTCTATACTTCTGCTTAACCATCATATCATTTAATCCAAAATCCAAAAATTGATGCAAGGTGGCATGGATGTGGTTGTGTTATTAATGATCTGTAGAACATTTTTGCACATTTTAATGTGAGATAAGCTGATGAGGTTCCATTTGATAAGTATTGTTTTTTCTATTTATCCTGATATATGGAATTATCACTTTTAGAATGAGTATGGCGTTTGGGAGATTTTCCTGCCTAATAATGCTGATGGTTCCCCTGCTATTCCTCATGGCTCACGTGTAAAGGTAGATTTTTCTGATTGGTTAGTTTGGGAGCGAAAGCATTCTTCAGATTGTGTCTGCTAAAGGGACTTGTTTTTTTCTCCTTCCTATTGTTTCTAGATACGGATGGATACACCATCTGGTGTGAAGGATTCCATTCCTGCGTGGATCAAGTTTTCTGTCCAGGCTCCAGGTGAAATACCATACAATGGTATATATTATGATCCACCTGAAGAGGTATATGCTCTAGTTTTTGTCTTGCATTTTTAATAGCATTGGTTTTGATGCTTACCACTGCTTAGTATCATTTTATTTTCAACTTCTTTCTTATAGCATGTGGATACAGAACAATATTTTGAATCTTGGTAGTGACATATACAATATGTCTTCTTGTTAGTGGAAAGGATTCTGTGTGTCTTTGTTCCACTTGAGCCTCTTAGAGATGCCTACTTACTCTTTTTTTGGTTCGCTTCTCTGTTTTAAACTTTTTATGACCATTTACTAACGGTTTTTTACATGCACAATGCAGGAGAAATATGTATTCAAACACCCTCAACCTAAGCGGCCAAAGTCACTGCGGATATACGAATCACATGTTGGAATGAGTAGCCCGGTATGCCAATAAGTTATAATTTATTTATTTTTTTGCTGTGTTTATTGTTTAGTCCCTTGTAGTCCGTACCACTTCTGTAATATTTTTAACATCCAATTGTTCATATTTCTTCTGCAAAAGAGAAAGGAAGAAAAGCTGTTTGTTCTTCACTTAGCTGCTCTCTGTTTGTTCTTCACTTAGCTACTCTCTCAGACACATTGAATTCATGTGGCAGCTAGTCAGATTTTGGTACATCTTTAAATTGGTTAATGTGGAACTTAATTTGTATAAAGATTATAATATGTGTATATCAGGTCTTCTTCTATTTTCTTGCATGATTCCAAATTCCTTTTTTCCGTAAAGACATTCCATATTAACATAAATGGAAAACATGGTTTGTTGTTTCCAGAACTTAGTTATATGTGAATGTTGTCTTTGTGGTAATAAGTATTGCCATGTTAGTAGTTTCAGAATAGAAAGCTGTGCAAACTATTTGTAAGGATAAGAAAGACCATTTTAAATAAAGGTGGCTTATGGGTGATTGGTTTGTACCATTCTGTTGGGTAATTGAAGTTTCAGTACTAGAAACTATGATCATCTATACTTGAGATAAACTGAGTATTTTAGATGATCTGTTACACAGGAACCAAAGATAAATACGTATGCTAACTTCAGAGATGAGGTGCTGCCAAGAATTAAAAGGCTTGGATACAATGCAGTACAGATAATGGCAATCCAGGAACACTCTTATTATGCAAGCTTTGGGTATTCACACTTTCAATGCATGATCTATCCATTTCTCTTCGTTGTTTCTGTTTTTTTTCATCCATCGGAACTCTTGCATCCTAAATGCTTTGTACAAACATAAACATTTGGATCCACTTCATTATTTTCGTAGGCCATACAACAATCCTTAGTTTTCTTACTTTATATGATTACTGTATACTTCCATTTTCAGGTACCATGTTACAAATTTTTTTGCACCAAGTAGCCGTTTTGGGACTCCAGAGGACCTAAAATCTCTGATTGACAAAGCGCATGAGCTTGGCTTGCTAGTGCTCATGGATATTGTTCATAGGTATGTCTGTTCAGTTATTCTAGACTGGGTCTATTTTTATAGGTTGCCTCGTTGGATGGCCCTATTTTTATCATGCAGTAGAATTGCACCATTGATTTTTCTTTGTTAGATGTATTAACTCAGTTGGAAGTTAAATGTATTTGACACCTATGAGTAGATACTTCTTGGAACCTTGCTTTATAAATAGTCACACAGATGGTGTGGATATGGACAGAGAAGCTTAGATGCAATAAACTCACTTACCTGGAAATTTTCTAGGTGATGCTACACTGCTACACAGAAGTTGTGAGTTGGGAAAGTATAGTTGGTTTCTTATGGATAAATGGTCCTAGGCACCACTTATCATCCTCATTCCATTTACACATGTTCGCATAGTTACTGAGCTTAATCCATACTTGGTATATTTCTCGTAAAGTACGTAAAGAAGGAACACAACGTAGACACTTGCCAATATCTTTACGGAAGAGTTGTACAGGTAGTCAAATGGGCTTTAAGAAATCCACCTGCTTTAGCCAGTTGAAATTTGTATTCTGGCCTTTGTATTCTCAATAAGACGATAACTCAACATACTCCATGTCTCAATTGGTTTGTCCTTTTGAATTGCATAGATTTACCAATATTTCTGTGTATCATGCAGTCATGCATCAAATAATACCTTGGACGGTTTGAATGGTTTCGATGGCACTGATACACATTACTTCCATGGTGGTCCACGGGGCCATCATTGGATGTGGGATTCTCGCCTATTCAATTATGGGAGTTGGGAAGTATGTAATGTGCACAATGTATTAGCTAATAGTTCCTATTTATCTTTCCATACATACATACGCAACATTATGTTTTGTGCAGGTTTTGAGATATCTGCTGTCAAATGCAAGATGGTGGCTTGAAGAATATAAGTTTGATGGGTTTCGATTTGATGGGGTGACCTCCATGATGTATACTCACCATGGATTACAAGTAAGTTTACCAGATGATTCTGGTAGTTTGATTTCACAGTTCTCCAGTGGTTGCATTGTGCTGTCCGTTTTCTGAAATAATTGCTCTGCATAATTACATGTATCATGTCTCCTAGGCCAACTACCAAGTCCAAGATAGCTTACCTTAGTTGTACATGATGAAAGAGATATTTGACTTTTCTAAAATTGCTGTTATTTACTGTAGGTGGCATTCACTGGGAACTATGGTGAGTATTTTGGATTTGCCACTGATGTTGATGCAGTAGTTTACCTAATGCTGGTAAATGATCTTATTCATGGGCTTTATCCAGAAGCTGTTTCCATTGGTGAAGATGTAAGTGCTCACGATATTTTGGTGTTTTTCTTTTGTAAATACTCTCATCAAAGCAATTAATTTAGTTGGTGCTTTTGTCCCCCCTGAGGGACTAGGTTAGTATTATTCATTTTGGGAAGGAAGTCTATATTCCTATTTACCTTGCACGCATGTTCTCAGATTGCATTTAGTTCTTTAACATAATATGCAAGTGTCAATTGATTTGATATTATTGGTGAAAAGAAAAGGTCATCCTCATAAATATCTTGAGAATGTTGACCTGGAATGCTATTATGATGGTAGATTTTGCAAAAGGAACAAGGTTTAACATACATGCAAAGTAGTTATGGACTCCAACTGTACACATGCCTGGGCCTATACCAGTATTATTAAACTTATGTGGGTTTAAGGTTCTAAAAATATGGCTTTTGAACATCAACATGACAGTCGCATGCAAATAGGAGGTTCAGCCAGATCTTCAGCATTCATTGTTCAACTTGTCTAATTATGTTCAGGTCAGCGGAATGCCTACGTTTTGTATTCCTGTCCAAGATGGTGGTGTTGGTTTTGATTATCGCCTTCATATGGCTGTCCCAGACAAATGGATTGAACTTCTGAAGTAAGTGGTCGAATATTATTGGTTACATATGCAAAATGGTATATTTGAGTTCTTAATTGATTCAAGTCTACATTTATGTTATTCTTTAGATGATATTTGTGGTATCAGGTTCAATATGAGAAGTGTCAATAACATAGTACCTTCATTCTCTTTTATCGTCCCAAAACACATGTAGTCGTCGTTTAATCTTTTTGCCCCAAATATCTAAAAAAAATGCTTTAGGTTTGTCGCAGGGAAAAGATATTAGTAGAATTATCATCAAATGGCAAAGCTAGTACTTCCTTATCATTATGTCTATAATATTTTTTAGTTTTAGATATAACGACAGTCAGAGCATGCAATGGTCAAAGGTGTATTGGGACCATGCCAGTATTTTATGTGACAAGTAAAATATGTGTCCTTCATGTACATATTTCCTACTTTGAGCTGGAATGTTAGTACCTCATACATATTCTGGGTAGTTCCAAATAAACATATGATATGATCAAATTTCAACATTCTCTATTACCACAGGCAAAGTGATGAATATTGGAAAATGGGTGATATCGTGCACACCTTAACAAATAGAAGGTGGCTAGAAAAGTGTGTCACTTATTGTGAAAGTCATGATCAAGCTCTAGTTGGTGACAAGACAATTGCATTCTGGTTGATGGATAAGGTACTAGCTGTTACTCTTATGGTTTTCTATCAGATCGCTTGTCTTTCTTGGGATAGTGATTTGTTCGTTCACTAGTCATTAGCCGCATGGGCAAACTGAGCACGTTACTTGATACTAATGCAATGATTGCTAAGAGCAGTGTGTAATGTGTATGGTGATTTGCTAATCAGTTGAACACACACATCTTCTTGCAAATAATCATCTATCAAATATTTTGCTAAGAAAGTCATTACAGAAAACAGGGCAAGGATGAGTCCAACTCACCTATGATAACTCTGTAAATTGGCAGCTTCAATCAAAACTATCAGATTGGTTTATGCTGATAGCTGAGGAGAAACCAGAAATTTGTTTTACCCAATTAAAATCAATCTGGTTGCAGTTTTTGGGAACTGGATCTGATTTTTGTAACTGCTTCTGAAATATCTAGGAGTCCCTTGAGCGTAGATCTTGTAGGTCTACTGGTCGAGGCGCTATGCTCCCTCCTATTTAAAGGACATAGCTAAACTAATGTTATCAGGAGAAACACATAAGATCTATCTGTGTCAATGTTTTAAATAGCGGGCTAAGCCCCTTAGCGGCTGCCTCTCCCAAAGGCTAATAAAGGCTATAGTGGGCTAAGCCATTTAGCGGCTGAGAAAAAAATATGTCAAACATCAGGTAATTTTGCACATAATAAACATAAGAAGATGAAGACATGTGCAGAACAAAGTGATAGCTGAGGCTAAATACCAACAGTAGTAGCGCAGTACAAAAAAAAATCCTAAGTTGCCAAACTGGACCTAATTAAATCCAGGCATTCACAGCATTAATGTGTTGCTGATTGAAGCAAATTAGCGAAGTGTTAAAGCGGGAAAGGAAGAAGGAAGTTGCCGGTAGAAGCAACAGCAGCAGCGGACGGTCGAAGCAAATCCTCGCGTCGGGACCGCCGCCGCCGGTCGAAGCAACTACTCGTGCTGGGACCGCCGCCGCCGGTCGAATCAACCACAGCAGCAGCAGCCGCCACCGTCGTCTGAAGAAAACCTCACGTCGTGACTCCAACGCAGTGTATTGACTGGTTTTGGGCTGGTGTGTGATTTGGGCCGGACGGTGCTAAAAGCCCATGCTGAGTTTAGCTTGATAGCGGCGCTATGATGCCTCCGTTTTAGCGCTCTTTAGCGCGCTTTTAGCCGCTATTAGCGGCAAACTCCATTTAGCGCCAAAAGTGACATAGCTTAGCGGTGGAGCTTCCCAAACGCTAAATCCCGCTATTTAGAACTATGATCTGTGTTATTTGATGGCTTCTTGACCAAAGGACATTTAGGTGTTCCATCTTGCATTTGTTTATTCATTAATGTGTCCTTGTATGTTTTATCTTTAGTTACCCAGAGTATTGAAGGGCTTTCTATGGTTGCGCATTGAAGATAATTTTTTTTATGCTTTTTGGTTTCTCCTAGAAAAGCACACTTCCACTTAAATATCATCACATATTGTTGATGTACATGCAGAAGTGTAGTATTGTGCTGTAAACTGCTGGTTCACAATAGAACAGAATGACATGAACATCTCGACTTCTTTTCCTGCAGGATATGTATGATTCAATGGCTCTGGACAGGCCTTCAACACCTCAAATCGATCGTGGGGTAGCATTACATAAAATGATTAGGCTTGTCACAATGGGTTTAGGAGGTGAAGGCTATCTAAATTTCATGGGAAATGAGTTTGGGCATCCCGGTTAGTCTTTTCAATTTTATTGCATGTGCATAGTTACGAGTTATAATGTGTTTCTTCTTTGTCTGGCATGTAGCCTACTTCATCAGAGGAGGAAGCTATGACTAGTTTCATTTTACGTGGCAGAATGGATAGATTTTCCAAGAGGTCCTCAAAGTCTTCCAAATGGCTCTGTCATTCCTGGGAACAACTGTAGCTTTGATAAATGCCGTCGTAGATTTGACCTTGTAAGTTTAACTATGCTACTATATTCTTTCAACATATCTGGATTGGCCACATATTTCTTGGTAAATCTTGCTTGGGAAAGATCAAGAATGTTCTATATAAGCTAATACTACCATATGTTATCATTGTTGTTGAATACAATTTTAATCCATCTTTTTTTTTCCAGGGAGATGCAGATTATCTTAGATATCGTGGTATGCAAGAGTTTGATCAGGCAATGCAGCACCTTGAGGGAAAATATGAAGTATGTCACTGGTTTATCTCTGTTGCACAATAACTTACCACTAAATTTCTATACAACAACACCAACAAAGCATCTAGTCCCACACAAGTTGGGGTAGGCTCGCTGTTGAATTTCTATCTCGTTAATTTTTTTTATATTAGTGGGGAGTCTAAAACAAATTAATAAATTGAGGAAAACTTCTGGAGAGGAGGATATGGAATTTCTCTTTGTAGGAGGGTGATTGGTGCATTTTACTGATGAAATGTGCAATATGATTTCAGTTCATGACATCTGATCACTCATATGTATCACGGAAACATGAGGAGGATAAGGTGATCATCTTCGAGAGAGGAGATTTGGTCTTTGTGTTCAACTTCCACTGGAGCAATAGCTATTTTGATTATCGTGTTGGTTGTTTCAAGCCTGGGAAGTACAAGGTATGCAACTCTTTTGCATGCATCTGTATTTTCGTTATCCAACCTTTCATCACTGTTGGGGTTCTAACAATATTTTTCCATCATGGATAAATCTGTTGCTGGAGATTATGTGGTCTGTAGCCATGTAGCAGTTTAGCACTCCTATAATTTATTTTTATCTTCACTAAATTATGAACTTCTATCGACTTCTTCATCGAACTCTGTAATACTAAATTTGTTTCCAAAATGTACTCAAATCAGCCCATTTGGGGACACAAATGTGTTGTGCTGGATGCTGATGGCTTTTCTCTTTTTTCCTTGTCAGATCGTGTTAGATTCTGACGATGGCCTTTTCGGTGGATTTAGTCGGCTTGATCATGATGCTGAGTACTTCACTGCTGTAAGTCCTGGTTCTGAGTATTGCGGCACACAGTCTGCTTCTCTTATTTTATTGCCCCCCTACATCATCTAAGATAACGACCCATTTTCTGATGCTTATTACAGGACTGGCCGCATGACAACAGGCCGTGTTCTTTCTCGGTCTATGCACCCAGCAGAACAGCCGTCGTATATGCACCTGCAGGTGCAGAGGACGAATAGGGCGCACAACCGCACAACAGTGGTTATTGGGGAAGAACTTCAGGGATGTACTGCTGGTGGCCTGACACCACTGCGAGATGCGACCACGCGCGATGCTGCCGGATGTTGTCGCTCGAGACCGCGTGGCAGGACGATCAGCTATTCAGGTGGATAGGTTAGCTTATCGATGAGCTCTCGCTTTCGGAGTGACTGGTGAAGGAAATGGACCGCGCACACCATGTGGTTTTGTACATATGGCATCAGTAGGCATCGTATCATTGATCTCTCTGAAACAATCATTTACATTATACTGCTTAGCTGTGTTAATAAGCCAGTGAAAATCTGGTCTTTTGCTAATTGCTACCATACCAAACCTCGGCGTGCTGCTGTGCTTTATTTTTCAATACGGTGACGTCTGCGTAACTACGTCTCGTGCATATGCTCTTTGTGTACCCTACCTACGGCTCTGTTCATGTTAGCAGCAACAGTTGTCCATACACAGCGGCTATGCAGCAATCAGAAACGAAGCCGTCTAAGGAGACGGCAAATGGGTATCGAAATCTAATGGAATTTTTATCCCATTAGAGTATGGATGAATTAATTTCTAAATCTGTTGATCTCATAGTGGATAGAATGTCGTACCCATCGGATAGGTGGATACGGGTATGGTTATATCTTACACAAACTTCCAAATTGTGTAAAAAAAATTCATCCTCTATCCTGATATTTTGTGTTATTCTTTATGCCTAACCTATAATATTGCAATCCTTCTGTTATATGTGGTGTTGTGATCTTGATCTAGTTATTTGGTGTTAAGATGAGTTGGTTTTTTATGTCCTCGATTGAGTTGTAGTTGAAAACTCAAAAATTATTGAATAGTGTTCTATTATGAGCTAATGAACTTGAGTTGCGTTGATGCACGACTTTTTATGACTCTCTCTGATATGCTTATTAATATGGTCGTAATGACATATACTCAATATATATTATTAGCTCATATGGTCGTAATGACATATACTGAAATTATGTATGCTCCTGTGTTGATAATGGTAATGTTGTAGTTTTTCTCTAGTATGAGCAACCTACAGGTATCGACTACCTGATATGGGCATGGGTATGGATGAGGATATGTACCCTCGACCGGGTGTAATAGATACAATCTATCATATACAGTAGGGTGTAGCATCCATTGGATTTATATCAATTGCCATCCCTCCTCGTCTCTGGGTCCATGACTCATTGATAGTGCATTTGTACAATTTGTATATTAAATTAGAATATTACAAAAAGACAATCTTACTTTTTTAGAGAGAGAATCTAACTTTTTGAGTTATCTTGATTCAAACTATTCAAATTTGACTGACTTTATAGAAAAAACACCAATATTTATAACACCGAATTAATATCACTAGATATATCATAGTATGTTTTTATAATATACTTATTTGGTGCCATAGATGTTATTACCCTTTTCTATAAAGTTGATCAAACTTAATATAGTTTGAATTAGAGTGAATTATGAAATTAGTTTATTTTGGGACAGAGGGAGTAGGAAAAAGAACTTTTCACTCCCCCTAACTTTTGCGGTCGTCTGACTTTTGTACCCTAGGCGGTTTTGATGGTGATTTTCCTGACCAGCTACGTCAACATCGACTAATTATACTATTAGATAATGAGAGCTTCTATGTCCATGAAGATTCCTATTATTTTTCTAAGATTAAAACAGATTTTAGAATTAAAACTAGTTCCATAGTTTTCTCGGCTAAAACTACATTCCTATTATTTTTCTGAGATTAAACCAGATTTTAGGATTTTTAATTGTATTACTTTTCTATGTAAAAATATTTGGATACATTTCGAAAATTTATTTTTTATAATTTCTAGATATTTTTAAAAATATATTTCTAGTACGACAGCCCATACGGACCCAGTTTGTCTACGCAGCGCGCAACAGGCCGACAGCCCGATTCAGCTCACTGTCACTGGCTCAGTCCAACTTGTAGCTCGTTCATCTCCACAGACCAGTCCGCACTTCCTTTCCTACGAAGTCTCCAAACTGATAAACAACCGGCTGGTGAACAAAACACTCTCCGCCCAAACCTCCGCAAAATCCCGGCGGCGAGATGGCAACTAAACACGCCGCAGCTCACTGTCACTGATGCGATGTCGGCGGCGAGACCAGTCCGCACTTTATCAGCAACCTCCCGTTTGAGCTCCTCTCTGCGATCATCTCCCCCAAACCTCGATACCGCCGAGGCCGCGCGCGATGTCGCCGTGCTTTATCAGCAACCTCCCGTTTGGCGCGACGCGTGGCGTGGGACCCGCGCACCGCCGCCCCGACGACCGACGCGAGCTTCCCGCCGCGCCCCTCGCCCTTCCCGCATCGCCCGCGCTCCATCGCCCGCGCGTCGGCGTCGGGGAGCACCCTGGGCGGCGCGCGCCGACACCGTCTCCCTCGCGCTCGCCTCCCACCCGGGCCCTGTCGCGCGCTTCCGCCTCGCCCGCACCACCCTCCGCGCCCGCGTCCCCGCCGCGGAGGCCTGGTTCCGCAGCCTCACGGCCGGCTCCCGCCGCGCCCGCGAGGTCTCGCTCATCTGCCCGCCCGATGGCGAGTGGTACCACCGCGCGCTCGCCGACCCACTCCTCACCTCCGCCACGCTCGAGACCCTCGCCCTCGGCGAGTGTCGCTTCTCCGACGCCGGGGCCGCCGCCGCCTCCGCATCCCGTCTCACGGACCTCTCCCTTTCTCGCACCCACATCTCCGAGGCTGCACTCCAGAGCCTGCTATCTGGCTGCCCCGCGCTGCGTAACGTCATCTTCAGGCACATCCAGGGCCCCCGCCGCATCCGCATCACTTCTTGCCGCAGCCTCGTGCTGTTCGGTGTGTGGCATTACAAGCACCTAGAGGAGCTCACCGTCGAGGACGCCCCGCGCCTGGAGTGTCTGCTCGGCGACGTGCATCTGGGAGCGTCGGTCACCATCATCGGCGCGCCAAAGCTTACTGCTTTAGGCTATCTGGTGGTTGGTTTCTGGAATTTCTTCCACGGCATCGACAAGCCTGCTGTTGAGGAGGTAGTTACCTTATTTCAATTCATTGTCGTTCTGCTTCTTCGTCTTGGATAGCTGAGCCTAAATGAGGCATCGCTCACTTGTACATAGCAGAAGGTTAACAAGGGACTGCGTACTCCTTTCAATAGCGTGAAGATTCTAGCTATAAGCATGACATTCTCGAGCAAGAAGGACATGGCGACGGTGATGAACTTGCTCAAGTGCTTTTCCTTCCTGGAGACATTGCATATCCAGGTAATTACAGCTTGAGGTTGCCACCCATTGCCAATTGCTTTGTCGGTGTGTGTACTATCCATTAGGTAAGAGTAAAGTGCGATTCACCCACTGAACTAGTTGTTGAATTTGGACTACCATACCGGACAACATACACAACTTAGCTTTTAAAACCAGACAAAATAACATCCCCCTTGCCGACATTTCAAAATTGTTTCTTCAGTTGTCGTGGCAGTGGGGCCCACCGGTCTTTGGTCCAACTTTTCCATATGAAGTCATATGAATATAAACTTTATATCAAAGTTATAGAGATCGACACAATCTACAACTTTGTAGTTGATAATTTGTTTATTTAATACATTTTAGAGACTCAAATATTAGGTTTAAGTTACCAGATTTTAAATTTTGATTTTTGAATTTTTCAAAGGACCTGAGATGTTGACATAGTCTATACCGAAGTTGTAGTTTCCAGTAAAATCTACAACTTTGTAGTTGACAGATTTTTTATCTCAGACCCAAGTATTCGTTTTAAGTTCTCTAATTTTGAATTTTCTTTTTTAATGTTTCAAACGACCTCTGATGTTGATGTGGTCTACACCAAAGTTGTAGCTCTTAACATTTATAACTTTGTAGTTGACAAATTTTTTATTTGTGATTGTTTAGATGCCCATATTTTTATTGCTTGAAAAAAATCAAAGAAATTGAATTTCCAAATCTGAGAATTTAAAACAAACATTTGGGCCTCTAAATGTCCCCAATAAAACTGTTATCAACTACAAAGTTGTAGAACATATTGAGAGGAACAACTTTGGTGTAGACCACGTCAACATCTGAGGTCGTTTGAAAAATTCAAAAATAAATTAAATTTCAAAGTTACAAAACTTAAAATGAATATTTGGGCCTCTAAACAATCTGAAATAAAAAAGTTGTCAACTACAAAATTGTCGATCTTACTTGAAACTACAACTTTGGCATAGACTATGTCAACATTTGAGATTTTGAGGTCATTTGACAAATTAAAAAAAAAATCTGGTAACTTAAAACGAATATTTGAGCCGCTAAAATATATTAAATAAAAAATTTATCAACTACAAATTTGTAGATCGTGTCGAGATCTACAACTTTGGTATGAAGTTTGTATTCATATGACTTCATATGAAAAGGTTATGTTTTTTATATAAAAGAAAAAGAGACCAATTGACAGGTGGGTCCCACTGCCACATCCACAAAACCACCAAAAAAACCACTTTGAAATGGTTAAGGGAGTATTTTGTTGGGTTTTAAAAGTTGAATTGTGTATGTTGTCTGTTATTCAAGTTCGAGGGCGTCTTTCAAATTCAACGACTTGTTTAGGGGTGAATCGTACTTTACTCATTAGCTAAACATCGCAAAGAACTTCCTCTGATTCTTCATTTTTGTGTAAAAGGGCAAGCCCGGGAAACGCCAGGTTGACACAATTGACTTCGCCACTACCAGAAGAATGAACCCATTGGATGTATTGTTAACCATCTCAAGACCGTGAGGCTGGAAAGCAAAGTTAAGAACCTAATAGGCGAAGTTGAGGAGCGAAACATGTTTGAATTTGTGTGTTTTCTCCTTGTGAATGCACAGGTGCTGCAGATCATGAAGATTCAATCTGCCATGTCCAACACCCCTGCATGGATTACTGAACAGCAAAATCTCATTCAATGCCACAGGGCCTCTGTGGAAGCCAAAGTCGTGTTCGAGGGCCTGAAAGTTGTCCATCGCAAGAGGTTCAGTATAGAGGCTGTGAATGCTCTACCTGACCCCTTTGATAGTGATATCGGCATCATGGGCTACTAAATGGCTTGAGTCTTACTGCAGGGATAATTCACCTACAAACTGTTGAAGGCATTTTGTGTTATGTTATCTGGTTATCTGAATCTACTATTTAATTTAGGCAGCATTTCAGGTTTCGTTCTAAAGAAGAGCAATATCCATGGTGCCACTGTCAGATAGTTTCCACTGTGATTTATGTGGTCTTTATGGTTAATCCTTTAAGAGTTGCTACCCATGATGCCACTGGCAGGCTTTTTGGCCTATGCCAGTTAAGCATCTGAGATTTGGAATCTACACTGTGACTGTCATCTGTTTTTCTTGTCGCTTTGAAAATAATTTTGAAGTTCATGTCCCTTGTCAGATTGTGTGATATTTCATAATCTTCTAATCTGTAGTACTCCGACATGGTCTTTACTTGCTGAAAAATTACTGGCAATGGCGTCTCATTTGTGGCTTCTAATCTGTATGTTTTGGATAAATCGTCAAATTTTCTTTCATCGTTTTGTCCGCTGCTTTTTTTTTCTCACAAGGGATGCACTCCTTCGGTACACGCCCTTCTTTTCCTTTAAGAAATTGTTCCTTAAATTTCTTGAATCCTGGACATCTGAGATGGACCTGCGCATAAATTTGAAGCTCGTAGTGCAACATGTCAGCCATTCAGCTTGTTCCTGGCCCGTTACTCATGGCGAGAGCAGCAGCACAACTGGCCACTGTCCGATACTTGTCTTAGTCGGGCCTGGTTAGACGATTATTTTTGCGGAACAGACGCTTCAACTCTGGCGATCCCCGGCAACGATCCCGGGGTCATCTTCGACGAAAAGGAGACTCGACTCGGGTTTCGACGCCGCTTCGATTCACCGTGGTATCTTCTCATCTCGTCTCCTCTGTTCTGCCGGGGCTTGGGGGGGACTCCCCCGGCGTGGGTGCCATTTTTGCTGAAGCATGTTTGTCTCGGTTGCGTGTTGCAATTGAGCTTGATTTCTCAGAGTTAGTTCCTGTTGTGTTGTTCAGTACCAAATTCTTCGAGGTCTGATGGGGAATCACAGGTTAACCCTTGCCTTTCCCCCAATTGCGCTATCGCCTCAGAGTTCTAGGAGTTCGAATCATAAGCAATTGGGCTCCAATCAGGGTGACTTTTGATCGAGATTCTGCAGAAACACAGATATTCGCTTTCAGGGCATATCGTCAGAGCAAGTTCAGTCAGATGCTGAATTGTTAGAGATGGATTTGGACGATTGGTTGAATGCGGATCATTTTCCACCTTTGAGTTCGGCCAGGAAGAACCCCACTGTGGTGTTGGGACTCCCAAAACATTCCCAGCCCGATGATCCAACCAGGGTGAATAGGCTCAGACACCACAAAATTCCTCCGATCGTTGCTGTGGACTCGCGTTCGATTATTGTGGGTAATCTTCCAATTCGGTTCTCCTGGGCCGGCAGGGAGCCGGATGGTACTAGGGAGCCAGAATGCATAAGATCAACCGAACAGATACTGCAAAGGATGAAGCCGCCATTGCTGGAGCAGAGGAACGTGTCTTCTGTGCTGAAGCAGGGTGGCGGGGGGCAAGCAGGTGATCCCAAAATTCAAGAAAGTTCACAAAGGCCGAGAAAGGTAAAGGAGTTGGGCCGGCCTGCTATGGCCCATCCATAGAGGAGTTATTTTCTCACTCTTACATTCCCCCATCTAGTCGCCTCCAACCTAAGACTTGTCGCCATCGCGGGGGGGTCGCCGCCGTTAGGGTTTGGGACCTGACGACGGAGCAATTCTTCGCGAGTGTGAGTGACATTAGACAGTTCGGAGCTCAGGCAAAACATCTTCGTCATGTGCATCCTGCCACTACCGATGAGAAGTCCTTCATGGAGGTAGCCAAAGAATCTATGGAGAGAAAGCCCTACCAGTCGCGCGATAGCAGAGATGGCGAGCGCTTTAGGGAGGTCCGGGAGGGGATCGCTTTAGAGACAGGCGTGATGACTTCCAAGATCAACGCCGTGACATCCGTGAGTCGTTCCAAGGTCGGGATGGTCATGGGCGCCAGGATTACTAGGAGCAAGGTGAAAGAGATCAGCGCCAGAATCGTCAGTTGTTTAGAGATCATGACCCAAGGGATTTCCAAGGTCGCAAGCACGCGAGTGATGTTCAAGAGGCTCGAGATGTAAGGCAGATGATGAAGGAGGACCTTTGACACAAGATTGAAGATTGCAGGAGGGGTTTCAACCAACAGCAGAATTGGGAGTCAGGATCAGGTCAGTATTCAGGCCTTCCTATGAAATGCTTCAACTGTAATGACTATGGCCATCACCAATCTACTTGCAAAAGGCCCCCATTCTATTATAGTTGTAGAGATACTGGTCATAAGTCTGCTCAGTGCCCTCTGATGAAGTCTAAAGGCCTGCGACTATGTGGATATGGGTTGCCAGGGCAAAATTTTTACTATCTAGATGTACCAGAAACCAAAGCAGATGGTAAAGCTTATTCAGAATCCCCAATTAGAGCTCTTGTGTCTGTTTTAGAAGGGAGAGGCACTAAAGCAAGAATTAAAATTGAATTACAGTATTTAGTGGACTCTAAGTGGGATTGGAATGTGAAACACATCTCTAGGAGTGAGTTTATGGTTAACATTCCATCCAAGGCAGTTATGAATATACTTACCAATATGGAGAAGATTAAGTTTATTAGTGATGACATTCTAGCTGTTGTGGAGGAATCAACAATGGATCCTAATGTTTTTCAAGTTCTTCAATCTGTGTGGGTTAGAGCTATTGGGATTCCTAACAACGCTCATTCAGAATTTCTCGTAATGGAATTGGCCTGGTTGGTAGGGGATCCTAAAGAGGTGCATCTACCATCATTAAGCTGGAGATCAGTCTAGGCTAAAGTCTCATGCAAGAACCCTAGTCAGATTGGTGGTACTTCAGAGGTCTTCATCAACAAACAGGGTAGAAGGATTACTCAGTATTACTCTGATAAGTTGAAGAAATTCCCTCCTTCTAAGCCTTATGATGATGACTTAGATGATAAGGATGAGGATGACCCTGAATCACAAGAGAGTCATGGTTCGTTGGAGTCTAGAAACCCACCACCACAAGGGCCTTCAAACAACAATGGAGCTAGTCCATCTGAGTACCAGGGTAAGAAAGCCAATTTGGTTGACCCTAGTACCAATAATAGTGCAGTGGAGGAAGCTACATCTCAAGCCTCAGATGCTAATATTCAGAGTTGTCAGGACTTGATGTATTCTACAGATATAATTCAGGAGATGGTTGAGCTAGCAAGCAAGTTGAATCCAAATGGAACATTTGATCAGAAAGGTTCTGAAATAGTTGAGGGGCAAACATCCAAATGGGTGAGTGAGGAGTCTTCTGAGGTGCCTTTACCTCATCCAAAGAGTTCGATCACAGCTCTGGATTCTGCTGCTATGGAAGCTATGTTTGACAGTAACTCTTCAGTTATCAATGATCAATCGGAAGCTGCCTAGCTAGTAACTAATACAAGGGCTAATCAGGTTGGGACCCCAGTGGCCAAGTTACTACCCAATCATGTTGAGAGTTTCACTTTAAGTCCTGATACTCTGTTTCTTGTGGTCAATACTGTTGGCACTGATGAGTTAGATGGAGATGCGGTGGGGATGAGTCCTTCTGGTGTCAATCCCAAAGTAGACGGTAGTGCTACAACAATTGATACTGTCTTAGCTAGTGAGGAAGCTCTCTAACTTTATGCAAGCTGATCCAAATTTGTCTTCTCAACCTGACCAAGTGCCTATGCCTAATCTAGTTTTGGTTCCCTTTGAACCCATCAAGGTGTCAATCAATTGTACCAGACAAAGCTCAAGACTCTAAGATAGAGATGTGCTTGTCCAAGAGAAGGCCATGGCTAGGAAAGTTATTTCCAAAGGTATTACTTCTTCCTTCACCCTACCTATTTCTGATACTTCATGCTCCCTAGACACAATTACTAGAGTTTGTGGCTTTTCTTTGGGGAATGAGGAAGCCACTAGAATTGCAAATATCTCCCTGATTCAAGCCAAAGAGGATGCAATGGCTGCCCTTTTGAATACAAAACAAAAAAAATTGCTGAGTTCTATAGAAGATAGAGATCAGACAGTGGATGAGAGTACTACAGGGCAATACCCCCTTGATTAGAGTTTGCAGGGGACAGAGCTTTTGATGAAGGTAATTTATTATCTGTGGATTAAGGATGAAGATCCTCTTCTAGAACATAAGGGGGTTGGGGAATGCAGGGAGAAGAAAGCTGTTATTAGAGTTAGTCAATAAACATTCATTTGACTGTGTATGCCTTCAAGAAACTATTAAGACTGCTTTCAAACAGAGAGAGTTAGATAGATTTGGGGGACAGAAAGATATGCATTGGTCTTGGCTTCCCTATTCTGGCCATTTTGGTGGACTGCTAATGGGGATAGACAAGGAGTTGGCAACTATTACCAATGAAGGTAAAGGAGAGTTCTTTTAAAGTTGTACACTTACTACGAAGTCTGATGGTTTCCAATGGATACTGGTAAACATTTATGGCCCTGTTCATGATGAGAGGAAATTAGATTTTCTGGAGGAAATCCAAAATAAAGTTTTGAGCTCTAAGCTACCTATTATGCATGGTGGTGACTTTAACTTGGTTAGAAAAGTGGAGGAAAAATTAACAGGTAATGTTGATGTACATCTGATGGATGCCTTTAATGAAATGATTAACACTACTTCACTGAGAGAGTTACAAAGATCAGGGAGCAGATACACTTGGACTAACAAGCAAAACCCTCCCATCATGTGTGTCTTGGATAGAGTTCTTGTGTCAAATGCATGGGAAGATAGATTTGATTTAATTACTATGGTGAATGCACCAAGAGTGGGATCAAATCATAACCCTCTTTTAGTTGATATTGGTGTTGGTTCGACTATGTAGCAACATTACTTTAGATTTAGTGCACATTGGTTAAACCAAGCTGGTTTTCAAGATTGGGATAAGGGCAAATGGCTTGCCAAATTCAAATATGATCCTCTTGATCATTGGCATAT